CATATCCCAAGTGTCCTACTCGATGAGGCCAAGGATCTCCCCTGGCACATATGGGGAGCTTCCCCAGTGGAGACTCCTCCTGGTCTATCTATACTAGAAAGCATGGGAATGGATGAGTAATAAGGTGGGGGTTAAGGGTGTCTCTTGAGTTCCAGCTTTTAGGGAAATGACCAGGAGCAGAAGGTAAAAGAGAAGACATCTGCTTGGAATTCCTCTTGCAGCAGACTGAAGGGGTCAAGGGTCAAGGGGGGGACAAGGGGACTTCCTGAGACTCTCAGGGGAGTGCCAGCCAGCTAGGCTGTTATATAAGCTCTGGGATAGACCGTGAAGGGGAGGCTGGCAGAGGAGCCAGATCTGGTCAGTGGCCAGAATAAGTTCTGCCCATAATCCTATCAGTCCCCTCCTTCCTCTAGGAAACCAGGACTTGACCCCCAAAGGAACAATCCACCTAGGTGGCCACATTCTATATGCCTACCAGCTTCCTCATTTTCACCCTGAACTTCTCTTCCCTAGAGTCATCATTAGGCAAGAAGCTCTTCTCAACTTTTAATTCCTGAAGAAATCAGACAGGTTTGTGAGGCAAGAGCTACCAAGGGCCTTACAAAGTCCCAAACCGAAAAGAATGAGGCACAGAGTAAAGGGCAAGAGAAGCAAGCATCCAGGACTGCTCCGTGCTAGGCGCTGGGATAACTTTTCAGACTACTGCCCCGTGCTCAGTGAAGCTTCTCAAGAGCCACTCAAGGTCTGTGGTATTCATTCCCATTTTACAGTTGAAGAAATTGAGGGGCATTATTAGCCTGACTTCTGGTAAGTGGCAGGGCAGAGACCTGCACTTGCTCAACCTCCCTCCCCCTTAGCTCAACAGACTGCCTGGAGATGGGAAATAAGCACCCTGGAGGGTCGAGGACAATATTTGGCTCACAACATGGGTATGGAATCACTACCAACGGATGCTGAATCTCATGGAGAAAGGACAGGACCCTGCATGGAGCCGCCTTTTAGCCACCAATATCTCTCTCCTCTTAGATTCAGCATCTGCAAAATCAGGAGGTAAATTAGTAGATCAGTGATTTCCAAACTGAGTTCCTGGGTATTCTGGCATCCCACAGAGATTGGAATGAGGAAGGAAAAGGACAGGCTGAATGAACAGGGGTGTGCACCCTCTAGCAGCCTAGCTTCCACCAGAGATGCTCAGTATATAAATTTCAGGTACTGACATTCATGAAAGTTTTTATTTGAACAAGTGTTCCACAGAATTCTATGGTCTCTATTCAAGGTCTCTGCAGCTCTGGTGGCAGCTCAGAAAGATCCTGAGCTGGAAAGAGAACCCAGAGGATCTGGTGAGGGAAGTCGGGTAGACCATGTGTTGGCTTCTAACCCTATGGTGAAGCCAGGGAAGAAGCAGATTGTGGGTTAGGGCCCTGAGATTGGGCTGATGAGCCGCAGAGATATATAGCACCTGCCTCTGCACCTGGGAAACAAACATACCTTTGGCCACAGCAGCCTGGGAACCACTCACTTTTCAGAGAGTTAGATCAGTGCCCCTTTCCCTTTTTCTGCCCTGATTCGTTCTCAGTGGACTCAAGTTGCTGATTGTCAACCTAGGACTATTCAATCTCCCATGACCTCATGGTATGGTTCCTTACTGCTCAACTCAAGGATTACTACAGGGCAAAAGCTGTGCAAAAGAAAAGCTGTTCAGGAAGAGGCCAGCACCCACCCTTGGGCATTCAGAGGTGGCCAATCTCCTTGAAGGGGAAACTCTATGTAGTGTCCCTCTTACTGTTCATCCCAGACCAAAGTTTGTTCCTTTGCCCCAGTTTCCCCCTTTAGAATATGGACATGAAAAAGGTATCCCTCTCTTGGTGGCTTGAGCATGCATAGCTCCCTGAATATCATCATCTCCATGGTCCAGGTAGAGGAGAAACTAAGGGCTCCAGCTGCCCAAGCATTAGAACTATCCATCTTCCTTCTATTCCACTCCCCCCCTCCCCCTACCCCAGGCCTGCCTCGGACCACCATTCACCCTCAACCTGCTGCAGGGCCCAGCCTTGCTCCACATAAGTAAAGCTGCCAGCAGGGTCCTTTGTGGTGCTGCTCCCGTGTGGCACTGCCTAGGGGCCCCACCATGGGGCAACAGATGGACCTATGGTCTCTACAGAACAATGGTGGGGGAGGGGCCCTGGCATCGCCTGCCCCAAACAGGAAGCGCTGCATGAGCTTCAAAGGACTGGCAGGGCCAAGGGGCTGAGTGGTGGAGCCAGTGCCAGGATTGGCGGCTGCCTGAAGAGCTGCCTGCCAGCCTCGGGATGCCCAGCCTGGCCGTGGGGGCAGGGCTGTGGTGGTCAGAGCAGCTGGGGCTTGGGCAAAAGATGCCTTGCACCCTCAGGACAGCAGCCTCTGGCTTGGAAGCAGGTTGGGGAATGGGGGCTTGCACACTGGGCTGTTTCCCAGTTCAGCTGCCACTTGTCACTGCGTGGGGGACTGCAGGTTCTCTCCCAGGCCAAAGTCAGTCTGGCTCTCCAGCAAGCAACCATGAGGGGCAGGGCTGGCATCAAGCCTGCAGCCCACTCCCTGCCTCCTGATCCCAGCTGCTCTGCTCAGAGCCTTTTCCTCTCCACTTCCTGTTCACACAGGGGGGGGCGGGAAGTGGAGAGAGGAAGTTGGGGGAGGCGTGTAGGGGGGACCCATTGAATAAAAGGAATTAACCGTTTCCCTCCTCTGACCTCTGGGAATTTCCGCCTGTGAAAGTGTCTCGAAGAATCAGAGCTGCGGGAGTGGCGAGGAGGTGTGCCCCTTCAGGCCCCCTCCCCCCACCCGGGGGTGGTGGGGCCAGATAACTCCCTCTGGGCCCCTAACCTTTTGTTTCCCTGGCGCCAGGGGGGCAGCGTCAAGGGCACCCTGCAGACTGGTGGCCTCAGAGCCCCCTCCCAACCAATAAGGTTGATGCCAGGCCCTCGGCAAGCGACCCGGGCCTTGGGAGGAGGGGCAGGAACCCAAGAATCGGTGGTCTTGGGAGGAATGAGCTCACATCTAGGCTGGCCAGGCTGAACCCCGCGCCTGTCAGGGCTGGTGCCCTTGGCTGGTCTGCCTTGGGAACAGGAGGAGGGGAGGGCGGGTCGGCGGGGCCAGGGACAACCAGCGGGCACACCCTCCGGTGACCACTCCCCCAGAAGCTGCGGTAGGGAGCGATGGGTTCGGGAATGCCAGTAGACAGCGCCTCCTAGTGCCGGAGGGCGACTGATCCCAGCGGCCCCTAGGGCCCTCTCAAGGGCGGGCCTCAGGAAGCACCTGCTCTTCAGGACCAGTGGCCGCCCTGTATCTCCCCCAGGTGGCTTCCTTGTTTACAGGCCTCCTGCCCTAGTCCCAGCGTCACTGCCTGTGGCCACTCCTCCTATTTCCAGTGACGGCTCCAGGAGCAGCTCATTCATCTTGGCCCCTGCCCACACAGCTGCTAACACCCCCCCACACACACATACACTTTTGGCCCTCCCCCAGGCTTAGGGCCAAAGTTCTGAGGACCTTCTCTGCGCTCCATTCCAAGCCTTGCTTGATTTCCAGGGATCTAAAAGCTGTGGCTTCCCGTTGCCCTGACTCACCGGAACCCCTTCTGTTAGTGCCAGAGAAGCCTGGGGCCTTTTCCCAGGAAGAGGAAAAAGCCTAGGACCAGATGGGCTCACTTAGAAGAAGACAGAAGGGGCAGGAGCATCCCAGGCTGCTTTAGCCAAGCCCTCTGGGAGTGGGGAGCAATAGGGCAGTATTTAACTAACATGTATTAGGCACCCATTATGTACAAGGACAGAAATCCCAAGCTGTTTTAGCTAAGTAAGCAACTGACCACACCAGTGGCAGACCAAGGTTTTATACTCAGTATTCATTGACAGTAGGGAAAAGGGAATCCCCTGAGCCCTCCTTTAGTTACATGTAGGTATGAGGGAGCCTTAGGCTACATACAGAGGAGAGGAGCCCCTCAAATCTTCTTGGAACGGTTTAAGGGATTAGGTCCCCCACAATGGGACCCCTCTCCTCTATCTGCTCCTACTCTTGCTTCTGGGGAAAGTTGGGAGCCTGGGAGTCATTAAATGGGCAGCTTCCACCCCTCTCAGTTGGCAGAGACTATAAAGAGATTCTATTCTAGAGGTTAGGGAACTCAAGAGGGTGATTCAACCAGGATTGTGGGAGATAAAACTCCTAGGAAAGGATTAGGCTGGAGAAGAGACAGGAACATTTGCAGCTAGGTGAGTTTGATTCCAGCATGATTCCAGGAACACATTATTTTCTACCAATATGGGCCAGTGGATAGATCATACCCAGAGCCTAGCAAGAGGCTGAGGGTGGGACTGTCCACTGAGCAAAAGGTGCTGAACTGCTTTCACTGGAAGGCCCTGCTCTAGGACTCCCCAGGACTTGGCCTCCAGCTCCAAATAAGAAAGTATAATCTGGGAGAAGGGGCATGTCACAGGAGCAAGGTGAGGAGAAAAGCCAAATGCCGTGAATAATGGCAGTAGCAAAGCCAAGGCAGAAGCAGTGAAGGCAGGTATCCAAGTTGGGAGAGGGCAAGTAAAATCTAGCATGTATAGGACAGTGGAGGGAAGAACAAGGGGTTTAGGGTTAACTGATTAACCAGTGGAGATTTCCAGAAAATTCTTGGGGCCACCAGGTAGGGAATAGATGAGGAAGTACCAATGACTTGAGAAACCAGTGCTCCAAGTTGATTGAGTTGGATGGATTCTGTGGGCAGCAGCACCACCTGTTGGCCAGAGGGAACTCTGTGATTTAAAATGATGGGCTATAATATAATCCTCAACTGAGTCAAAGATAGAGGAGGGAGACAAGGAAGAAAGCAGAATCTGACAAGATCTTCCTGTTTTCATCTCCAGGTGAAGGACCATGTGCCATGACTTGAAGGTCTGCAGGGCCCTGGCAGACTCCTTGTGGCATCCCAGCCCCTCCTACATCAAGCTTAGCATCAACAAAGCCATCAACTCCAGCGCCACCAATGCAGTGCAGACATTTTAATGCTCTCCCAATGTCTTCTATGAGGTCCCCAGCCCCAGGGTGCCCCTCATAGTGGAGGTCCAGAGTGTGCACCAGGGCCATCATTAGTACAACCTTCCCCACCAGAGCTCAGGAAGTGGGAGGGCTATCTTTTCACTTCTGGTACACCTGGGGCAGAGAGAAGAGGAGGCTTTCTCTGACAGAGAAAGGTTGGGAGTCCAGAGGCCACAAAGCAAAGAAAGAAGGGTACTCGCAATCCAGAAGATAAACAGGGTGGGGAGTGACAAGGACAAAGGAACTGTTAGATACAGGAGTGGGAGTGGATCCAGTTTCTGACCTCTCCAGGCTGATGGCCTGAGTAACAGCAGTTCTAAGGTGGGTCTGAAGCACAGCAGGCAGCTGGCAGAATGCCCTCTCCCCTGACACTTCAGGATGACAGTTCTATTCCCACTCCCCAACATAACCACAGATGACTGAGCACAGACAGGGTGTGGCCTTCCCAAGAGGGCCAAGTAGCAGCTCCCCATGCCTGCCCATTCTTCACAGGACACCCTTCTACAGCCAGCTCAGATGCTCCTCCTCATAGCGCTGGGGGTCAATGAAGGGCCGGTCAATAGAGCGGATCATCAGCTCCCCACAGTATACGCACTCAGCAGCCACCAGTTCATCTAGATCAGCTTTGAGCTGCTCTCGGCTGGGCCCGCCTGCTGCAGCCCCACCCTCAGCCTCCTTGGCTCGGGCAGAGCCCTTGGCTGGTGGGGGTGCAGCCCCCAGCTTCCGCTGCAGCTCCTCAAGCCGGGCCTGCTTATAGGCAGGCAGGCCAGGCCGCACGGCCTGCAGTAGGCAGTCAGCGTGGAACATGTGACCACAGAGAAAAAGGTAAAAAGGGCGGTTAAGCAGAGGGAAATCACAAGTGGCGCATTTGTCCTGAGGCTCCACAGTGCCATAGCGGCCCCGTAGCTCCTGCAGGTCTCTCCGAATGCGCTGGGCACTGGCTGTGGCCTCTTCCATCTCTCGCTGCAGCTCCTGGATATGATGGTTATAGGCCTTAAGTGAGCTACAGATCGCCTCCTTGAAGTGGTCAATGGTGACAAAATCAGGAAAGAAGGGTAGCACATCCTCGATCTTGAGCAGGGGGCAGCTGGCCAGGCAGGCCATGGCTGTCTGCACATCTTCCTCCTCCTGCACCACATGCCGAGCAATCTTCAGCCACAGCTTCTTTCGTAGTTCCTCATCCTCCTCAGGCAAGTCTGCACATTGCTTGGCCAGGTCCACGTCTACCTGTGGGGAAACTGGGGGTGTTAGGGTCAAGCCCCTTCCTCACCCAGGAAAGAGACTACAAGATAGACAGATGCCCACGGAGAACCAGAGCCAGTAATGGGCCTGTTCCTGTCACAGCTATAAAAAAGAATCTACTTATGTTGGTAGGGATCCAATTTCAGAGAATTTAAAAATTACTTGGGGAACATGTTAAAAATATTGATTTTTGAGTCCTATCCTCAGACATCCTGATTCAGTAAATTCTGGGTTCAGGCCCAGGAATTTACATATTAAATAGCATTTCATTTGTTCCTAAGGCAAGTGTAATTCATAATTTGAGAAAGGTAACTCAGCAGCTTCTCCTTCTACTCATATGTATGTGCCAGGCATTGTTCTGAGCGCTCTTTTTTCCTTTCTTTTTTTAAATATTTTTTTAGTTGTAGATGAACAATACCTTTTTGTTTCTTTTTTTTTTTTTTTTTTAAATAAGCACTCTACTGACTAAGCTATACTCTCAGCCCTGATCTGTAATCTTTTTCTTTTTTTTAAAATATTTTATTTACATTTTAGTTTTTGGCAGACACAACATCTTGTTTGTATGTGGTGCTGAGGATTGAACCCGGGCCGCACGCATGCCAGGCAAGCGCACTACCACTTGAGCCACATCCCTAGCCCCGTTTGTTTATCTTTATGTGATGCTGAGGATCGAATCCAGGGCCTCACACATGCTAGGTGAGCGCTCTACCACTGAGCTACAACCCCAGCCCCTGAGTGCTTTTCTCATGCAGTACATTATGAGGTAAAAAGAACTCTAACTAATTACTCCCATTTTATAGCTGAATAACCTGATGCATAAAAAGGTTCAGAAATTAGCCCAAGGTCACACAGTTTAAAAAATGGCAGAGCTCTATAGAGTCCATGTCCTTAGATTCTATAACATAGCACCTCTCTGGGAGAGAAGCCAGCACCCTCTAGCCTTGTCCCCTGCCAACCCTTCAGTCTCTGAACCTACTGCTCTCCAGGTTCCTCTCCTGACTGGGGACAAGACTTACCTGCAAGGCTAGATCCACAGCTTCCTCATATAGTTCCAGCACTTTGTAGACATGGACACAAGCACGGTGATGGCCATGCTCAGCACAGAGCCGCAGCGCATACTTGAGATCATAATGTACACGATGTGGGCTGGCCCCAGCCTGCTCCAGGTAGGCCAGCAGCGAGGCTGGCTGGCCACGGGCATACAGTGACAGCAGGTAGTTGTGAATGGCCTGCTCAGTCTCCCCGAGCACATTCACACAGAATTCCATGTAGCGGATGGCCTGGCTCACCTGCTGGGTCTCTCCACCCTGGCTATAGTTCACCAGGGCAGGGATGAGCTGCCGGGCATCCAGCCGGTTGCCCAGCTCAATCCAGGCGTCTACCAGCTGGCGAGGGATGTGACGAATGAGAATGGGTGAGAACTTGTAGAAAAGCTGGGGGTCACGGTGGCGAGAAAGCACAGCCAAAGCTTCCTCATAGGCCTCGTGCTGGCAGTGGTATGCCACCACCCGCTCATAGTCCTGCATGATCACTGCAAAGTATACCATGTGTTCCGTGTCCCCATGACTGGCAAGCAGCTCATGAATAGAGGCCCGGCTGGCAAACAGCCACTCCTTGTGGCGAGGGCTGATGAGGAAGGCACGGAAACGCTCCCGTGTTTCCCGGTAGAGATTCAGAGCCTCGGGGTCACCCTGCAGGGCCCCAAGCCGGCTCAGGTAGAGCTCTGTCAGCCAGGTGGTCAGCAGTGTGGCCTGGGTTCGCTCGGATGGCTTCAAACTGGCCAGTTTTCGCTGCAGGAACTCAGCTAGAGCCTCCTCCTGTCGGGCCTCCAAAAACTTAAGGGCAATCTCCTCAAAGTAGCTCTGGGTCAGGGCATAGCAGCGGGCACTCTCCAGGTAGCGATGCTGGCGAAAGCAGAAGTCAGCCTCCCGGGCCAGGACTGTGTCCAGGCAGTCAGGCCGCTCTCGACAATATTCCTTGGCCAGGTCAAAGCGGTTCATGTCCAGGTAGGTGCGCCAGACATCCCGGGCTTCACGCTGCACATGGTAGCGGAAGACAGCGCGCTCAGTGTAGGCCCAGAGCTGGCCTGTGGAGGAGTCTTTCACCATGTGTTTGAGTGGCCCAAACTTCTCCAGGAAGTGATCCCGCAGCACCACCTGCCCAGTCAGTGTGCACACTGCCTCCACCCGGTCGGCCAGCAGCAACAGGAAGTGGAACTGTGTCAAGACGATGGCTAAGGGTGGGCTGGCCCCGGGACCTACTCCCTCAGGGTATTCCCAGACTCGCTCCTCACTCAGAAGGGAGTCAGGCCGGCCACAGTCCAATGAGCCATACAACACGCCATCCCCCATCATCCAGGCAAAAGCCCGGGGTGCAGAGCGCAGCTTGGGGGTATAGAAGGCCAACTCGCTGTAACCGAGGTTACTGGGAAACTCACGGAATGGTGGTGGGTGATCTGTGTAGGCAGCAAAAAGCCCTGAGAAGCCCTGGGCCTCAGCCCCCTCTGCTGCTCGGCCTATGAACTGGAAGAGGCGCTGCCGAGTGGTAGCAATAACAAAGCCCCGCCCATCAGGGCCCCGTTCAGCCTCAAGGGAACACACAGGTGCTGGGCCCCCTTCTTCATTTAGCACATACAATGGACGGAAGTAGAGATCTGGGGCAGGGCCAAAAAGTCCACCCTCACTGGCTGAAAGCTCTGCTTCAAAGATCTGGCCTTGAGCAGTGCCAACCAGGATGGGTCCAGTGCTACTCTCAGTGCCCAGTGCCTTGTTCCAACCTACACTCTCCACCAGCTGTCCTTTCCAGCGTGCTAGTGGTCGTACTTTCTGTCCATTACGGTTCACATAGAGGACCTCAGTGCTGCTCAGAGCAATCAGCAGATGAGAGCCTGGAGAGGGCAGAATATGGCATCCTAGAGGATGCTGCCATTTCCACCCTTAGCCCCCTCCTGGCCCCTTCCCTCCTCAGATCCCACCCTCCCAGGCAGTGACTGACCCAGAAGTCCCTGTCAGATCTTCACCACCACTTACCAGTATGGTCCAGGAACATCTTGTGAACTTTAGCATCATCCTTACGCCCCAACTCTACATGGTTGGGTTCACTTGCTTTGCCCAGGTCAATGCTGTGGGGATAAGAGCCACAGTATCACTCTAAAGAAGGGAAGATCCTCTTTTGGATTGTGAAATTCTCTGGTAAAAGTCATAGTCATTCTTCCCTGAAATCTACATATACACCAAAATTCTGAATACAATCCCAAGAGAACCCTGAAACATAGATCCTATTAAGAACCCTCAATTCTGAGAAATCTCCCACTTCATTCTGAGAAGTTTTTCCCCTATGCTCAAAAGATCTCCAGTGTGGGGCTGTGGTTGTGGCTCAGTGGTAGAGTGCTTGCCTAGCACCTGTGAGGCACTGGGTTCAATCCTCAGATACTACATAAAAAATAAATAAATAAATAAAATAAAGGTGTTATGTCCATCTATACTTTTAAAGGAAAAAAGATCTCCAGTGTATATGGGAGGCTTATCCCAGACTGCTGGGGTAAGATGAGAAAAACAGAGTTGCTGGTGGTTACTGAGCACTTTCTATATATCAAGCACTATACCAAGAATTTAATCTAGTATTATCTCAATCTTCAAAATAACTTTGAATGTATCCATTTAAATTATATTTTTCTAATTAAATCCTTTCCAAGTTATATGCTTATTCTCACTAAAGAGTTAATATAAATACGCATAAAGAAAAAGGTAATGATTTGCTTTTCAAACATCATTCCCAATCTAGAAAATTGATGCTAACATCTTTTTTCATGTTTATAATATAAATAGGTTTTTGTTGATGTTATTACCAAAAAAGCCTTCATATGTGTATTAATTTGTAATGTGCTTTCGTCAATTAGTGATATTTCATGAACATTCCATTAGTTAACAGGTGTAGCTGTTTTTTTTGGCTTTGTTTTGGTTTTGGAGTACAAAGGATTGAACTCAGGGGCACTTGACCACTGAGCCACATCCCCAGCCCTATTTTGTATTTTATTTAGAGACAGGGTCTCACTGAGTTGCCTAGCAGCGCACTTTTTGCTAAGACTGCTTTGAACTTGAAATCCTTCTGCCTCAGCCTCCAGGGCCACTGGGATTATAGGCGTGTACCACAGCACCTGGCTAGAATTCATCTTGTGAGAGAGAGGCTCTGTTTACCCAAGATGGTTTTCTAGATAGATAAACAATTTTGATGACACTTTTGTCATATATTATTTCTATTTCTAGTGGATATACTTCAGGACTCTATAGATTGTTCCAAGACCACTGTGACCAACTTGTAAGCTAGAGCTATATTTAACAGATGAAGGACATGAAGGACCATGTTTAGAGAGATTAGGTGACTTGCTAAAGATTCCATAGCTGGAGTTGGGCACAGTGGCACACGCCTGTAATCCCAATAGCTTGGGAGGCTGAGACAGGAGGATCATGAGTTCAAAGCCAACTCCAGCAATGGCGAGGTGATAAGCAACTCAGTGAGACCTTGTCTTTAAATAAAATACAAAATAGGGCTGGGGATGTGGCTCAGTGGTCAAGTGCTCCTGAATTCAATTCCTGGTACCTGCCCTCCAAAAAATGATCTCATAGCTGGGACTAGGCATAGTGGGGCATAACTGTAATCCCAGCTACTCGGGAGGCTGAGGAAGAAAGACTGCAAGTTCAAAGTCAGCCTAGGCAATTTAACAAGACCCTATCTCAAAATAAAAAGTAAAAAGGAGGTGGGTAGGGATGTAACTTAATGATAAAGTGCCTCTCTGCTCAATCCCTACTACTGAAAAAAAAAAAAAAAATTCCATAGCTCCTAAGTGGCACCGCTGGAATCTGAATATGTCTGTCTGATTCTTAGCTACTACTACTACTACACTATGTTGGTTCAGGAACAAAGAGAACACATCCTTAAAATTCCAAATCCACTGCTTCCCTTGCCCGGAGTGAAAGAAAGGCCCCAACTAATACCCTTCCATTCCCTATTGCAAAAACTTTTGGGATCTAAATTACCGGAGCAGTGAATCCTTGCCCAGGCTCATGCAAAGCTGATTGCAGGAGACCACAAGACTGGTGATACGCTCAGAAGGAGTAAAGTCAATGCGCTGCTTTGTGAAAATGGGCACTTCCTTCTCCAGCTGGGCATTCACATACCCTACAGGTGAGAAGTTTAGAAAACACTAGTTATGGAAGAGACAGGCAACAAAACCAAACAAAAAAACCCAAGAAACATCAGTGCTACATGACATTCTCCCAGTAGTTCCTCCCCACCCACACTTTGATTAACAAATAGTTTGAGATCAAGTTGTTTGTTGTAAGGGTCTTGGCCTCTTCTCACACTTCTGACAGCAGGGAGTGTTTGATTCTTGATCACCTGAGATGCTATTACAGCAGGATGTACCTAGTTCCAGTGGTAATGGGAGGGGAGGAGGGTGTGAGTCTTACAGGGAGTTGATTTGAGCATTCTCTTTTATCAGTCTTTGGTCCCACAACCCCTGTTTAGCTTAATCCCAACTCCATTATCTATCTCCTCCCTGAACATGCAGTAGTGAAAAAACAGTGAGTTTTCAGAAGCCTGAAGGCAGAGGGAGCCCTGGGGAAATGCTCCAATCATTGGTGTTAACAAAACTGCAGCAGTTTTCTCACTAGACAATTGCTCAAAATGTGACCAGCTTTCTGCCAACTCTGCACTACTTTCTACAAAAATTTCCCTGAACACAGCTGTAGCTAAGGCCAAAAATATCTCATCTCCATTTCTCCCAGATCAGTGACAAATTCCCTTTAGGACCATCCCTCCTTCTACAACATTCCTCTTCCACAAATTTCATTATCCTATTCTCACTCGGGTCTGGTGGGAAAGCAGAAAAATCAGGTATAAGGAAAAACCTGTATTCTATTTTCGATTCTCCCAACAGCTCAACTGCGGCCCTGTAGGCAAGTATTTCCTTAACTGAGCCCCACTTCTCTCTTTAGAAAGGACCCTAGTGGCAGGCCCTAGATCATGCGGCTGCTCTTATGGCTCTTTCAAACTTCCACCATTGGCCAGCTGGGAGCCAAGAGAGCTGGAGGAAAATAAGGAGTCGCAAAATTCAAGTTCCGGAGGTGATTCCGAGCTTTTGGAGCCGCCCTTCCCGCTCATGCCCCAAAGGTGCCGAAAGGGGGCATCGGCGCCCCTCTCTTTCTTACCCGAGTGGGGGATCGCCACATTAGGGCAGCCGGGTTGCAAGACAGCGGAGCGCGACAGCGAGTCCTCATACTCATCCAGGATGGACGCCATGGTGTTCTACCTCTGGGTCCTTCGTCCGGGGCGCGGAGATCACGACTGGGCTGCCCCCAGGGATCCCCGTCGCCCCCGACTGGAAGCTGCGAGTCCCCAGCCTCTGACAGATCCTGGGAACCAGCCACCGCGGCCTCCTAGGACGTTCTCGCTCTAGCCTTATAGAGAAAGAAGGTGGGAGAGTCCTTCCCCTTGAATCTGGAGCAATCTTACACCCCACTCGGCCCCCAAGTGATCACAAACTCCCCTTAGCCGATCCCCCAACCTCACCCGGCAGCTCAGCTGACTCCCGCTCCCCTGGCGCGCGCCTATGGCGTAACTTCCGGGTTCTCAGAGCCCCGCGTTTGCGGGAGCAGTCAGCCGCCAGGCCTCCACCCGCAGGCGCCGCAGGGGCTGCGAGGGCGGGGTGGGGCCAAGGCGAGTGGGCCCCTAGTGGCCCGAGCGCTGCCGGCTGGTGGGCGTGCCCTGCCTCCGCAAGCCCCTCCCTCCAGGCACTGCTGCAGTTCCGGGTCTCCACACTAGGGGGAAGTCCCGGCTTTCTCAGCCCCTTTCCTGACGCTCCCCGCGCAATCCAGCCTCAGTGTAGCGGTTTCGCAGCTCTCAAGGCCAGGCTTCCCCTTCTCAGATGGTCTCCTCAGCCTCTCCAACAGCCCGCGCCCTAGATACCCTCCCTAGGACCTCCTGTTCCTTAATCTAATCATTATTTTTGTCTACCTTCACACGACACAGGCAAAGCGGGGCGAAGTGGCGGTGATCCCAGTTAGTTGAGAGACTGAGACGGCGCGGGGAGGGGGGGGGTAGTAGCAAGTTTGAGGCCAGTCTTGTCTTGGCAAGTTTAAGTGGCAACTTAGCAAGACCCTGTCTTGGTAGCTGCGGTGGACCAATAAATAGATCATTAATATTAGAAGTGATTGAGATCACTTATGCATAAGGTCACTCGATCCACAAATGAGCATCTCTCTGTGCCAGGTTCTGGGGACATGGCAGAGAGAACAAACCAACCAAGGTCTCTGGCCTCATGGTGCGTGGCCAGCGACGTGGTCACAAGTCTGTGGGAACATGGAGGAGCAAGGAACATATACCCAAAAGGCCTAGCAGGAATGAAGGACAAATGGAGGTGGTGGAAAAGGTGAGAGCCACTAGCCAAAGTCAGAGAAGTAATCCTAAGGCCCAGAAATTTGAGGGCTTGGACCAGGTGTGGCGGTGCACATCTGCAATCCAAGATGCTGGGTAGACTGAGGCAGAGGATGGGGAGTTAAAAGCCAGCCTCAGCAACTGAGTGAGGCCCTAAGCAATTTAGCAAGACCCTGTTTCTAAATAAAATATTAAAAAGGACTGGGGATGTGGTTCAGAGGTTAAGCACCCCTGGGTTCAATCTCTGGTACCAAAAAAAAAAAAAAAAAGTTTGAGGGCTCAAGTGCCACTACATTTGGGTTTCTGTCTTCCATCTGCCTAGGTGACCCAGATGAAATCTGTCTCCTTCTGGGGCCCCCTTGCTAAAGTGAAAGGCTTTCAGCCAGGGTCACAGCTGCCCTCACTTTTGCAGGTAACCCCATCCTAAAAATGAAAAGTGCCCTTTCACTCTCAAAGGCATGCAGGTTTGCACTATACCTTACATTCTTGCCGAACTTTCCAGCCAGAACTGTGACACCCCTGCAACTCCTACTGAGGGCTATCAGAGCCTGGCAATGTACTGGCTCTGGAGGGATTAAAAGGATAAACTGTCTAGGATGCTTCCCACTATACCAGGGTCCTACTTTTCCTGCCCAAACCTGCGGTTGTGACATCACTTTCCAGAAGGAGGCCCCAGATTGGAGGAGGGAGGTTTCAAAGCTGGATGGTAAGCAAGAGGTTTCCACCTTGGGAAAAGTGATCCAGGCAGGGGGCTGCCCTGCCCCATGCATAAAACTCCACCCCATATCACCTGCCATCTGCCTTCAGGTTTGGACAGAGCATGGGAATGTCCATGTTGCATGAAGTACATTAGCAGTTGAAGGCCAGCATACCTATGAGGGTTGTCTCAGGGACACAGAGTACGTCCAGCCACTTCATCACTGTCCTGTGTCCACAACTCTCTGGTTTGTATGGGGTGGGGCCTAGGTGAACCTTGCTTGCTATAGATTCTACATTCTGCTTGGTGGGCTGGTTACAGAAATCCACCTCTACATGCTCATCCTTCAATCCTTTGGCTGTACTATGGAGTAGGAACCAGAGATCAGCCTTCTTATCCCTGTTCAGCCACTAAGTAGCTATGCTACTACATAGCAGATGGTCTTAACCTCAGTTGCCTCCTCTACAGAAACATAGAATACATACCCAGTACGTCTGTTTGAGGAGTAAATGAGGTGATCTAGGTGAAAGCTCATTGCTATAGTGTAATATCTAACATGCAACACGAGCTCAATAAACTCTAAATGTGGTACTTCTCAAATCCACCTTCTCTGTGAAGCCTCCCTGTACCCCTCAGAACTGCTATGACTTTTCTTATCCTGGCCACTTGGGGGCACCCAATTATGAAGTATGGGCATTTTGCTTTGATACGTAACAAACTGATAGTAAGAAGTAATTCAGACATCTCTGAACATGGGACTACACAGGTACCTTAGGGAACTCTCAGCTGGAGATGTGGGTCTACTGGTCTTTAGTCCTCAGAGTCAGTTTGGTGGGTGCCATAAGACAGGTAAGGGCTGATTGATTGTTTGGCCAACAAGAATTTGAGTATGAAAGCAGTTGAATTTGAGCTACGATTTGAAGTACACATATAATCTCCAAAGACAAAGAAGGAAAGGCATTATGTAGGCTTTAAAAACTAAAAGCAAGTCCTGCAAACAATGTGGGGGTAATGTTTGGGAGTTAAAAGCTGGAGTGCTAGGGAGCAGGGGACTGAAATGGGATGGGCCATGACTAGGTTGTGGTAGCTATGGAATGGGCCATCAGAAGGGAATGAAATCATCTGATGTGGGTTATAGAAAGATGGGTGGTGGCTTGGGTGGAGCTCACCCCAGGAGGGATCGGATCTAAGGCAGAGACAGAGAAACTGTGAGGTTCCAAACAGGGGAAAGAGTAGGCTAGAAAGACAGGGAAGACATTTATAAGAAAATGTTCCTGGACTTAGTGGCAAGTTAGAGGTGGAGGGTAAAAGAAAAGTGCAGGGGCTGGGGTTGTGGCTCAGTGGCAGAGCACTTGCCTAGAACATGGGTTGGCACTGGGTTGGATTATCGGCACCACATAAAATAATAATAATAATAATTAAATAAACAAATAAATAAATGTCTCATGTCCATCTACAACTAAAAAAATACTAAAAAAAAAAAAAAGTGCAGGGCAGCTCTTTAGAGAGACCTGACAAATGGTGGCATTGACACCATTGTCTGTGGTAGGAGAGGAACTGTGTAGAATTGGGTGGAGGTTACATGACTGAGCTCATCCTGGACAGTTGCCCATGACACCTGTAGGATACTTACTGGGGAAGCCCCAGAACCATGGGTAAACTCTTTCCAGGGCAGTCACCAACTTACTAGTAAGTATTTATCGTTGAACATTTGCATGAATGAACTATCTCCTGCCTCATTTCTACATTTGTGAAATAAGTAAATCCATTTTAATAGCACTGTGGGTGCAGTAGCCTGCAATTACCAAGACTCCAGAGGCTGAGACAGGAGGATGCCAAATTCAATGCTGGCCTTGAAAACATAGGAAGACCCCCACCTCAAAATAAACAATAAAAAGGACTCAGTGGTAGAGTGTCCCTGGGCTCAATTCCCAGAACTTAAAATTAAAAAAGAAAGAAAGGAAGGAAGGAAGGAAGGAAGGAAGGAAGGAAGAAAGAAAGGACTCAATGCAAGTTAACTATGAATTGTAACTCTTGACCAAATTCAGACCCAGACCAAAAGGAATGATTCAATTGATTTAATTAAAGACTACGTGTTCTTCCTTCCTTCCCTCCTTCCTCCTCTCTCCCTCCCTCTTTGCTTGCTTGTGCTAGGGATTAAATTTAGGGTCTCAGACACAGTAGGCAAGTGCTCTACTACTGAACTATGTCCTACACTTCCAGGCATAGATTTTTTTAAAAAATGGTTTTAGATTAACAGAAAAAAATGGAAAATAGTACAGAGAGTTCCCATATACCTCACATACAGTTTCTCTTATGATATCTTACATTAGTGTGTTACTTATGTCAAAATTAATAAACTAATATAGATAAGTTAATATTAATTAAATTGATACTATCTTCAGATTTCTTTAGTTTTTACCCCCCAATATCTCTTTTCTGGTTCAGAATCCCATCCAGGATACCACTTTATATTTAGATGTCATATTTGCTTAAGCTTCTCTTGAATTGTGGCAGTTTTTCAGATTTTCCTTATTTTTGGTTTTTTTGTTTTGTTTTTTAGTACTGGGGATGGAACCCAGGGCCTCACACATACTAGGCTCTACCATTGAGCTACATCCCAAGAACTTTTACTTTTTATTTTTAAATTGAGACAGGGCTTAATTAGCCCAGGGTGGCCTTGAACTTGTGATCCTTCTCCATCAGCCTCCCCAGTAATTAACCAGAATTTCAGGTGTGCGTCACTGTACCTGACACATTTTCCTTGTTTTTTATTTTTATTTTTTTAGTACTGGGAATGGAACCATTTTTCTTGTTTTTGACAACGTTGATGATTTTATTTATTTTTCCCAGTGCTGGGGCCCAAACCCAGGCCATCAATTATCTTGATGAGTGTGTATTTTGTAGGATACTCTCTATTAGAATTTCACTGTTTTGTTTTTCATGTTTGTCTTGGGTTATTTATGGATGTGGAGGAGGTAAAATACCATTATCATCATATCATATGACTTATCACTGTTGATATTGTTTCTGATCACCTGACCAAGATAGCGTTTTTCAGGTCTTTCCACTGTAAACTTTCTTGTTCTACTTTCCATGCTGTTCTCTTTGGAAGGAAATCATGACACACTCTGCACTTAAGTAGTAGAGGGTTTTGCTTCCTGGAATGTGAAATCTTTATACAAATCCTTTGAAATTCTGCATGGGAGGTTTAGGCTTTTCTTTTTTGTACTAGGGATTGAACCCAGGGGTGCTTAACCACTGAGCCACATCCCTAGCTCATTTTTATATTTTATTTAGAGCCAGGGTCTCACTGAGTTGCTTAGGCCCTTGCTAAGTTGCAGATGCTGCCTTTGAACTTATCTATCTTCCTGTCTCACACTCTCAAGCCACTGGGATTACAGCAGTTTACCACTGCACCTCATAAGATGTGGCTTTTTTGGTGTGTGTAGGGGTTGCACCCAGGGCCTCATACTTGCCAGGTAAGTGTTTTACCACTGAACTATATATTAGCCATTTTCTTAAAACATATATTTTTAGTTGTAGTTGGACATACCTTTATTTTATTTATTTGTTTTTATGT